TAGACTATCATATGCAAATGATTATTTTTGAGCACAAGTAATCATATATTATTGGGCATTGACCATATTCCCTTAAAGCTATTATAATGGCATAATTTAGAAGATGGTTTGCCTATATCTTTGCATCCATTTGATTATTATGTTTTGAAAGCATATGAAACGTGAAATATATATTGTGACACGCACTTTAGAAATCACCATTCCATATTTTGTATGGTGAGTGCTTTGAATATTATAGAGAAAATTAATAGTGGTGTACACAAAGATAAGTGAATTATTATTATTCACATGTATGAGCTTTATGAATTTGACAATTTGTTGTGTTAGAAGTGTTGATTTAACACTACTGCTAAGTGATTAAATCATCAATATGATATAAAGCTTATAAATTGTGTACTTATGCACATGTCAATTTACAACATTATGTGTTATTATTGTGGATATGTTACAAACTTTGCACTATTTGATGAGATACACACTATATTACAGTCACATAATCTTAAATATTTAAATTGTGTACTGGGTTTAATTTCAAAGGCTTTACTCACATTTATGGTGGTAGCATGGAAAAGTCATCGTTCTTGAATACTCTGTCTAGGAAGATGGTTTTTAAGAAAACTTCGGTTTCACCACTCGACCTGGGAGTTTTTAAGAAGTAGGGTGTTGATCATGCAGGCTAGTTAGAGTGCCACTTGATCTTCACTTGAAATGAGGTTGACCTTCATATATTGTTAAACAATCAAAGCCTTGCAATAGAAATTGTTGAAGTACTGCAATAGTAATATTGATGTGCATCTTATGAATGCTTTATATGAGTTTTAATTTCCTCAAGGGAATGGAAAATTGTGCAAGTGGCAACTCTGAAGTCTCATTGTTGAGAGATATTTTCGAATAAATATGAGCTAGAACATATTCCTTGTGTATGAGATTAATTTCTTATAAGAATATTTTTTTTTGAAAGCAGGAAGATCGAATATTATTAATGAATATGCGTAACAATAAAATCAGGAGGTACATTTTCCCACAGCATAGTCATACCCTGAGTAGTAACCCTAGATGCTAACGTATGAGCAATAACATTTAACCGTCTAGGAATAAAGCATAAATAACAAGAAATAAACTGAGCCATAATGGCTTGACACTCCCGAACAATAACACCAACATAGGATCTTGGATGTAAATCAACTCTAGAGAGATAAGACTTCAGTACCGAACAATCCGTGGATAGAGTTACCGTTGTAACCTGGCGATCCCTTAGCCAAGACAAAGCCTCCTTACAAGCTAGTGCTTCCGCCGTGATTGCATTCTCACACAAAGGCAAACGCCCATTCATAGCCGCTACGAAGCCTCCTTGGCCGTCCAAGAGAACCGCGCCAAATGCTGCTGCCCACGTCGACGGACACCATGCGGCATCTACCGTGCACTGCAGGCCAGTGGGTGTCGGCTCGTGAGGCTGCTGCTGATCTGTTACACACGGCCGTGAGGCCCTCCAGGCCGAGAGGGCTGCTTTGGCGGCCAAACACATTTGCTTGGGTGGCCTCATATACGCCTCCCATACCGTAGAGTTTCGTGCATTCCATAAGTGGTACAGAACTGCAACAACTTGAATAAGAACATCCGTGGTTAGCACAGTCATCGCACTCTGAAACCATTCAACAAAAGATCCCCCATGCACAGAAGAAATAATAAGGCAAGATTCATTCCAGACATGACAAGCATATTGACACTCTATCAAACAGTGCATAACATCTTCATTAAAACCAAGACACATGGGACATGCAAGATTCACATCAACTCTCCGACTAGCAAGAGCTGTTGTGGTTGGTAGCACACCACTCAAAGCTCTCCACAGAAACGTTTTCCACCTGGGGGGCACATCTAATTTCCATAATGCTGGCCATTTATCAAAAGCCGTATCATTCTGTATTTCCCCCACAATCAAGCGATATGCACTTTTAACAGAATACAATCCATTATGCTCCTTATACCAATACCAAATATCCTCATAGTCCGGGCAGACTGGCACCCTACAGATACGGTTCACATCGTGTGGGTCAAAAATATCATTTAAGATGTCCAGATCCCAAGTACGGGTATTCTGATCCATCAAACCTGACACTTTCGACTCACTAATAATAGATGGTAAATTAGTATGTATCTTTTAATCCAAATCCAGAAGCCAAGGATCTTTACCAATTATAGTAGTCTCCCCATCCCCAATCCTCCTCCTTACTCCACCACACACTAGATCATGCGCCGCCATTATACTCCTCCAGCAGTAGCTAGGATTATTTCCTATGACAGCACTTCTGAAATCAGCTTTAGGGAAGTACCTTGCCTTATATACCTTTGCCACCAAAGATTCTGGTTTGGTGAGAAAGCGCCAACCCTGTTTGCCTAACATTGCAAGATTAAAAGCTTTTAGATCTTTAAAGCCCAGGCCCCCAACTGTTTTTGGCTTACTGAGACGATCCCAAGCCATCCAATGTATTCCACCTGCCCCACCCTTACTCCAATAGTATCTGTTCATAGTTCTCTGTATTGCCATGCAAAGGGAATCAGTTAGCAAAAAGACACTCATTGAAAAGGTAGGCATAGATTGGGCTACCGTTTTCAATAGGATCTCTTTGCCTGCCTGGGACAATAATTTCTTATTCCAAGAGCCTATCCGTTGTTGGATTTTTTCCTCAATATATGCGAAAACCTGTTTCTTGTTCCTTCCAACAAACGAAGGCAACCCCAGATATCTCCCAAAATCCACAGCCTGGGTAACTCCCAAAACCGCACTCACCTCCTCCCTTACATCCACATCTGTATTTTTGCTGAAACAAATACTGGACTTATGATAATTAATAGACTGACCAGATAGTACCTCATAGTGCTCCAAACATTGTTTCACCGCACTCACCTCCTGCACATTCGCCTTAAAGAATAAGAGGCTATCATCTGCAAAAAATAGATGGGAAATAGGCGGGGCACCACGTGCCACTCTGCACCCATGGACAGCTCCCAACGCCTGGGCCCGCTGTAACATTAAAGACAGTCCCTCTACACAAATGATAAAAAGATAAGGAGAAAGAGGATCCCCCTGTCTGAGACCCTTGTTGGTACCACTACACCCCCAACTGTGCCATTAATAAGAATATTATAAGAAACAGTAGTAACGCACATCATAATCAAATTCACCCACTGTTCCGCAAAACCTAGAGCTTTCATCATTTGCCTTAGGAAGACCCATTCCATTTTATCATAAGCTTTGGCCATATCCAACTTTAGGCCCCCCCAACCCACCTTTCCACATTGTTTTCTATTCAGGAAATGACCTATCTCAGCAGCAATTAAGATATTATCAGTTATCAATCTATCCGGGATGAAGGCACTTTGTGACTCTGAAATAATAGAATCCATAAAAGGCTTCATTCTATTTGCAATCATCTTGGCCATAATCTTGTATACCACATTACTTAAAGCAATCGGCCTCAGATCCGTGGGGTATTCAGGGACCTTCTTTTTCGGGACTAACACAACATTAGAATCATTTAATCCCTCCGGGAATACACCCGCATTAAGACAACCAAGTACGAATTCAGTCACCTCAGGCCCCACCACACCCCAAAAATGCTGATAGAAACCCGGATTCATCCCATCCGGCCCAGGCGCCTTATCCGGGAACATAGCAAACAAAGCCACTTTCACCTCCTCTGCCACAAAGGGTTTCAACAAAGACTCGTTTTGCAACTCAGATACATGGGGGGGGGGGGGCACGTTATTAAATAAATCACTTCGGGATGGGGTTACAGATGATTTAAAAATATTAGTAAAATAATCAATAATAACTGTATTCATAGCACCCTTAGACACCCAGCTACCATCCGCATTTTTCAGTCTAGACAGAGAATTTTTACGCTTACGAGAAGAGGCATACCTATGATAGAACTTGGTGTTGGCATCCGCCCCTCGCAGCCAATGCTGCTTTGCCCTCTGCCGCCAATATATATCCTCCTGTGCCTCTAGACGAGTCAGCTAAGCCTGGATTGTATTATACTCCTCCAAAACCGCATGTCCCCTACATCCTTTCAGTCTCATCAACTTGCCATGCAACAATTTAATTTGCTTACCAAACATATGGAAGCGATCACCTCCCCAAGCCTGTAAACGATCTTTGCATAGCTGTAGCGTGCTCAACAAACCCTCTCCCTGACTATCATACCATGCCTGCTCCACCACCCCACGGCAGCCCGAATCTAACAACCAGGCCATTTCAAACTGAAAAGCGCGCCGATCACCCATACCAAAGCTAGTCGGATTAGAAATACTCAGAAAAATGGCAGAATGATCAGACTTACGAGTTAGGATATTAACAGTCTTGGCTTCCACTAACAACTCGCGCCATTCCATTGTCGCTACCACCCTATCCAGTCTCTCCTCAACCCATTCCTCCGTACCCTCACCCTTCTCCCAAGTATACAGATACCCCTCCATAGGCAACTGCAGCAAACCACAAGAATCTAGTGTCTCCCCAAAACCACGCAACAAACTCTTTGGATGTGGGACCCGCCCCCGCTTCTCAGACTGGAAAAGCAAATCATTGAAATCACTAATCACAACCCACGGTAGCGAGGATTGTGTTGCTAATCTCTTCAATAAGGCCCACGATTCACGTCTTCTCGATCTCTGGGGATATCCATAGTAACAAGTCATACGCCATGGGGGTCTATCATCCACCGTCACCTCCACATCCATATGGTTCATGGAATAGCTAATTAGTCTAGCAGTATTATTAGCTCTCCACAACAAAGCCAAACCACCCCGTCTACGATCCGGATTCACAAAAAATACCCCTTCAAACCCCAATTTAACTCGCAACCTCTCAGCATGATCCCCTTTTACCATAGTCTCAATCAGAAATACAAAATCCGGCTTCTTACTGGACACCATGTCCACCACCTCCCGAACTGTTCGTGGATTGCCCAAGCCACGACAGTTCCAGCATAACGTACTCATGATGATGGGCGGAACTGCACTGCAGCTCCCGCCATGTACGAGTTTTTTGACACGTCTGCCATGGTAACATCCTCCCCGCTCCCACGCACTTCCCCCTCATGACCCCCTTCCCTCCTTCTTTTTGAAATTGCCACCACTGCCGAATCAGCCCCTCTCACTCCAGCCGCAACCACCCTTGCCCCATCCTCCCTCACCTCACCACCCCTTTGTTCACCCTCAACCCGCACTCCTTCCACCACTCTCGGCCTACTCCCCACCGGAACCAACCAGCTGTCCCCCACTTCCCTCGGCCCACGGTTGCCACCTACCCTCATATCCGCACCGTATGGGTACAAATGCACTGGAGCTGTTGAAACCCGGGCTTTGACGCAGAATTTATACGTATGCCCCATTAGTCCACAAAAGAAACAAAAGGAGTGCAAACGTTCATACCTAAAATTTACCCAACATGTGGTCTTATCACGCTTCAACATCTTCATTCCTCTTCGCAATGGTTTGTCTACCGGAATCGAGACACGAATTCGGTAAAACGCAAGCCAAGGTGCCCCTGCAAACCTCTCATCATGTTTAACAAAGGTTCCAATAAAATTTCCCATCTGCTCGAGTATTGGTTGTGACGTATAACCCATGGGAATATCATGTAGCTGCACCCACATATCCACCGTATTCAACGCAACATCAACCGGTAACACCCCATCCCCAACCAAACGACACACCAAAGTGTTGTTTTCAAACGCCCAGGGCCCTCCATCCAGAACATAATCAACATCTGTTTTATGAAAGAAAACAAATAAGAACAAGCCTTTATGTATCTCCGTTACCATAACCCCCATCACCGGTTGCCAGACTGAAGCCAAGACCTGTCTCATATATTCCAACTTAATCATCTTTGCTGTGAGAAACCTGCCCACCACAGTCCAAGTTTGCATCGGTGCTTCGGAACCATCCGCTACCCCTTCCTCCACAGGTGCGAAACACTCCTCCTCACTGTCAATGGAAATTTCCGCAGCACGTTCAATAACTTCGGCCACATGCACCGCATCATCAACACCTGCCATGTTTCGTCGTCCAAGAAAACAAAAAACAGCACCGCCTTGAAAGAGAAACCACGCTGGCCAAAACGTAAAACCTGGGAAACCGCTGCTGCCGTCTTGCTTATCGTAATCGTCGTGACAAGAGCAAAAAACCGGTAAGAACCACCGTAGAAAGAGATCGAAAGAGCAAAAACCTAGCCAAACCCTAGGAGAGGATGCAAAACCCTAGAATTCTAGAGAGAGAGTATTCTACAATTTATTATAAGAATATGATTTTCTTATAATGTGAAATTTGTGATTATGTTATTCAACTTGATGTAGCATGTGGACAACATTATTTCTATGGCTTACTAACAATGAGCATTTGTATATATATATATTATTTAAACTCTTGGTTGAGTCATATTGAAATACCTATAATTCCTAGTTAAAGGGTAATTGTGATCAATTGAGATAACCAAGTTTGTTGAAATATATTCAACTGTTGAGTATGTATCAATCAGGCAGAGTGCGAAGCTTATATAATGCTCCACAAAGCAAATCGGCAAAACTCAGTCTACAAAGGAGCTAGTGTTGGGCACCAAAGATCAATCTGGGTAAGAGATCAAATACATTTGAAAAATAAAAAATAAAATTGTAAGTGTTGCATTGTGGGGGTAATTAACTCCTTATATTTTCATCAAAAGTTTCTCTGTGGTATTGAGAATAATGATGAAAGAGAATGTTTCATGTTAAGCATGAAAATCTCAAGAGATTATTTACGAGTAAACGAAGTACTCGTCAAAGTGCATGTAAGTTTGATCAAGAGAATCAACTTACTTGAGGGCTAATTATGAGGATTAGTCGCTGACTCATTGGAAGGACTTAAAGTCCAAGTGGTAATGAATTCGTGGTGGATCCCACTTCTGTGGTCAAACGAAGCCATGAAAAGAGTTACAAAATAGTACACTAGTTGGTCATTCCGACAGTGTGTGTACTTGTGAGGTTGAGCTACAGCTCTTAATGAATTCATAACTCTTTGAGAAAGGATGGTTTTGTTGAGACAAACCTAATGAATTCACCGCATAATGACATGAGTACAAAGTGCTCTTGGTGACTTATACTCAATTGAGATGGCCTATGTTGAGGTAGACCTAAAGAGATCCCTAACTTGAGTAGAAAATGGCTAACCGCTTCTTATGAAAGATAACGGAGTTATCCCAAGAAGCTGAGTGGCTAAGAAACATGGTGATAATCGTGCAGTTGTGGGGGTGTCCAACACCTTCACCACATTGTGATTCACAAACTATCATTTGCATTGCAAAGAACAGTGCCTATGATATAAAGAAAAGGCTTAGAATGGATTTATGTCTTTAACTACACTATAAGCCTTTAAAGGTGGTCTATATTGAGATAGACTTGGTAGAGTTAAAAGTCTATATTGAGATGGACTTGACAAGACATAAAAATCTACAATGCGATAAGACTTGTCAGAGTTAAAAGTCTATGTTGAGATAGACTTTGACAGGGTGGAGGTCTATATTAAGATAGACATAACAGACTTGAATACTAAGGGTATTCATAAGAAATCAAAGAGTTTGACTTTCGTAGGACCTGCTTTTTGAGTTGGTGTGTGCATTAGAGTTCAAAATTTATCTAACCGGTGAGTTCAAGATTCATATCACTCTCGGAAAGAAAATTACTCAATGTCACTACGTGTCAGTTCAAGTTCTCAAACACTGGCATTAAGGTCAACTCGATTGTATTGCTCAGACATTACTTCATTTAAGCCTTCTATTTTGAATGTGTGGGGGATTGTTGGAAAACCATTCATAAAAAAAAGCTTTTGTTTTAGTTATTAATTCTTGCTTCCTAAATTTATGGAACCATGCAGACTATTACTTTTTGTTGTCAGCATACATGGGATCATTCAACATGCACTCCACTAATATAGCGCATGTCTTCATTAGTTGCCATGTTTGTGTGGCCTGCATGGAATGGTTTGTTGGAGGTTTACACTATAAATTGATCTCCCTTCTAGTAAACGAAATACATAAAAAGCTTCTTCCTTCTTTCTATGTAAGAATTAATATATATTATAATATATATATATATAATATATATAATTCGTGTCTGCCAATTAAGGTCTGAGCAATAGTGAGGTTCGCCTACGTGATTGCTAGTGCAAGCTATCCGTAGTTGGTCTGTGTAGCCTGTCGAAAGCGTGTCTGGATTCTATTTGCACCGTTACCGGGCAAATAACGCTTTTAAAGTAGTGTTATTGTAACACGGCACAGATTTCCTTTCAACCATACACCAATAGTGTCCGTGCTTCTTAAAAGGCTTCCAGATCGTGCGTTGACGTTGCTATTTTCCCCAACATACATATTAGAGCTAATTCCATTATATTTTTGTCCGGAATTTATAGGTGACAATCCACTTTTAGTTTTTTCTTTTTAAAATATTTTCCTTTGGTCTTAGTATTTTGTGCCATGATCATTTTGGTCCTCTATTAACAAAACAGTTTAAATACCGGTAAACACAATAACATTTCAGTATTCAATTATGAATTATATTTTTTTCAAAAAAATTAACATAAAAAATATAACTGGTCAACGCACTTTGTATTAAAAAGATCGAAATGCCATTGTATTTAACGAAATTTCAATAATTTTGTTGATAGAGAACCAAAAATGGTCATATCACAATAATACTAGAACCAAAAATGAATATTCTGATAAAAAAAAAGAGACTAAAAATGAACTATCGCTTATAATCTAGAACCAAAAACATAATTAACTCTTACATATTATTATATACTTTCAAACTCTACACCTATACTATTAATCTATACTATTAATAAAAGTAAAATCATCCTCTTCAACTTTCCTGCTGAAACTTTTCTTAATATTAAATAATGGGAAAATGACACTTTTTCCCCCTTCGTTATATGCTTATAGCACTTTTTTCTCCTGAGTTATTCATGCATCTACATTTGCCCCCTCAATTATTATAAAAGTGGTTATTTTTCCCTTGATATATTAAATGGACATTTTTACCCTTAAAATAAATATTTTATTTATTTCTCTTCTTCAACAGATTATTGCTTATACGTAGGGATAATCACGGTTCGGTTCGAACTGAACCGAACACTATAGTAATCAAATAAAAAATTTTCGGTTATGATTCAGAACATAACTCAATTTTTGGGTTTACATTTATTAAAATTGTAAACTGGGAAAAAATGGATCCTAAACCGTGAACCGGAGGTTCAAATCGGAACAACCACTAGCATTAGCTTAAAATTAGAATTGTAATATTTGCAAATAGCGTTTTTTTTTTCACATTTATACTGACTCTCACATATAAGTATATATAACCACGATTTGGTTTTAATTTTAAACCGCCGGTTCACAGTTTCGAATCCAATTTGAACTGCTGGTTCAAACTTTCTTATAAAATTTTATTTTTAAAATATTCTAAATTTAACAATTAATGTATTTTATTTTTTCAAATCGTGGTTATAATTTGTTGGAGAAGAAAAATAAAAGAAATATTTATTTTAAGGGTAAATGTATCCATTTAACATATCAAGGCGAAAAACTGCCACTTAAATAATTTAGGGGGGAAAAGTGTTATAAGTATATAACACATGGAAAAAAAGCGTCATTTTCCATTAAATAATTAATTTATTGATAAAAAAATTAATAAAACTTAATTGGTAACAAAATGTTATATGGAAATTAACTAATATATATTAATTGGTAATATTCTATAGAAATTATGCGTAATAACGTAATCTATACTATTAATAAAAGTAAAATCCTCCTCTTTAACTTTTCTGCTCAAACTTTTCTTAATATTAAATAATTAATTTATTGGTAAAAAAATTAATAAAACTTAATCGGTAACAAAATGTTATATGAAAATTAACTAATATCTATTAATTGGTAATATTCTTTGGAAATTCTACATAATAACGTAATTTTATAAGGAATAATGATTTATTAATTATTATTTGATTTTATAAGGAAATAATGATTTATTAATTATTATTTACACCAAAAATAATAATTAGAATATTAGTTTTACACCAATCTATATCTATAGTTTATAGTATTAATAAAAGTAAAATCATCCTCTTCAACTTTCCCGCCAAACTAATATGAATATTAATTAATCTATACTATTAATAAAAGTTGGTGTTATCGGATTCAAATAAGAAACAATTGCTTTTAGTGGAATTGGAGAAGTTGCTATTTTTGTGGGGGAAGAGACTGATGGACTTTCTAGAAATGCCAAATTTAGACGAAAGTAACATGGGTTTTGATGGAAAACATATATGTCGATAGCCGAAGAGTTGGCGTATGACAAGGAATCGTTGAAGGTAGAGCATGAAACGTTGATAACTAATTGACAGACGAGAAAATGGTGTTGATTCTAATGGAGGTGGATTGTTCTTTGTGTATGGTTACAGAGGAACATGCAAGACATTCGTGTGGAGAACGTTATCATCAAAGATAAGGATCCGCGGTGATATTGTTCTCAACGTTGCTTCGAGTGGAATGACATCTTTGCTCTTGCCGGGAGGCAGGACGACGCATTCCAGATTTGTTATACCACTCTTTGAACGAAGATTCCACGTGCAATATATCGCAAGGCAGTGGCCTTGCTGAACTTATAATAAGGAGCAATCTGATAATATGGGACGAAGCACCGATGGTGCACGAACACTATTTTGAGGCTTTGGACAAAACCATGAGGGATCTATTGAGGTTCGTTATACCGGGTAGTGCTGAAAAGACATTAGGTGGAAAGACAGTAGTTTTGAGCGGCGATTTTAGACAAATTATTCCCGTTACTTCGAAAGCAGCGAGACTAACTACACCTGGACTCTAAAACCGGTATGACCATTTTCCATAGAATAGACAATGTTGACATCTCACTGGCTCCAATTGAACAAGTTTACACATCTTTCTCAGAATCTTATCCATGTATGAAAACTTCTAAAAAATTTGTAAGTTAATTTTTACTATATCATTATA